AAACCACAGTAGTAATTAGAACTTTTTGAAATTAGGTTTGCGTATTAGAGATAATAACTGCATTAAATTCTGATAAATAAAAATCAACGGGAGAAAGATAATTTCTTTTAATATCCTGTGATGTAATTTGGAAAACAAGCACATAGTAGCTGACATCATTAACGAAATTCTTGCACGTTGTGAAGTAGTGAAAATTAATTTAATTATTGTATAAAGTTTAAAAAAGTATAAAAATATGAAATATTTCCATAAGGTATAAAATGTTTGATAAATATAATTTGTAATGCTGAATGAAATTGAAAATGAAAATAAGTAGAATTTCGCTTCACTTTCAGAAGTTTATTTTACTGAAAGTCTCATACTGAATCACCACTGCAGGTAATAAATATTTGCTTTTGGGTTTGTGTCATATCTACGCATCAAATTACCAGCCTGATGACTAAACAACGTAAATTTTTTTTAGGTTTTTTCAAGTCCATTTAATAAAGTTTAACAGTCTTGTCACATCCCAAGTATGAAAAGCTTTTTTAAGTGTGTTTTCATATTTTTGTAGTTTAATAATTGAGTAAAATGTTTAGTTTGCATTTATGTCACTAATTTAAATTGTTAAGATAATTATAATTCTATATATATAGGCAAATATATATATAGGCACGTAAACAAAGTATTCATAGAACTAGTACATTTTGAAGGAAAATAGTACATTTTTTGAAGGCGCTTCAGTACGTTTTGAAATTTCATTGTGGCATCACTGCAGGGAATACTTACAATACTGAGTTCGGTTTTGTGTAGTACACTAAATAATTTCAATTGTAAATTGTATCGTTTAATGCTCTTTAAATCAATAAACGGCTAAATTATTTAATTTGTATTTATAATACATTTATGACAATTGTAAAAATTCAGAAATCATCACAGTCCATTTTGTTTGGCACGTGTATTCTCCATGAATTTTCTCCATCGAATTTAAGAATTTTTATAGCCATATTGACATTATTAAAATATATTAGCAATTAAAAAATATATTAAATTATACTTTATATTTTTTTCGCTTTATGGTTTATTTACCATTTCATCATTACTCGAATAACTGGGGCTATTCATCTACCTGTGAAAACACTATGAGATAGTATGTGCGCTCAAGAAAGTTTTCAGGGTGGTTTATCCCAGTTATATTATGGCCCATTCCTCACCTCAAAATTTCCCCACTTTCAAATTGCTAGAAACCACGTTGGATCTGAAAAGGGCTCTCTTAGTGGTCAACAGAAAGGAAAGAATAAAACATAAAAATGCTTGATAAATACTTTCCTAAATAACATAGATTCATATAATTCCAACCATTTTTCAAAGTTGTCAAATATTTTCTGGTTTTTTTTTTGATTTATTATCTTTTTTTCAAAGATTTTTCTTTGTTATTTTCAAATGATTTATCTTTCATTTGAGGGTGTCAAACATCTTTTTCACACTATTTCTTGATAGTGAAGCATCGCTTCTTTGTTTTATTTTAACTTACTTTCTATACTTGATATTTTTCTAGCTTAAAATTAAAAAATAAATGATCATTAATGGTATTTAAAGTACTGTACATACACTTAAAAAATTAATTTTATATTAACTTTCTCATTTTTTCGATTAGAAACTGTACAAAGATCAAAACCTTTAAATATATTTTTTTCCAAAGATTGTCTTTAGCTTCAAATTTTATTAATAAATTCAATTTTTTCATTATATTTAGCAATTTAGAAATATGAGTTAATTTGCATGAACATTAATAAAATATAGTAAAACACTAAAATACTATCTAGATAAAGAACACTTGGAACCATTGGTTGTGGCAAAGTAGAGGTTTTGTTGAGTGAAATCCCTCACAAACACTACGTTTGCTTTGAACTACTAATGATCATAAAATAGGGATTTACGGTGCTAAACCTTTCTAAAAGACCACTTTTGCTCGGAACCGTTAGTGGTCACACAGTAGGAGTTTACTGAGTAAAAGACTCCCTCATAAACTCCAATTTTCCTGATAATCATTTGTGGTTCTAAAGTATGGGTTTTACTCTATTTCACATTCGGTATTTTAATTTTATAAACATTGAAAAGACATTCTTAACGATAATTGTTAAAAGTTTATTATAATATAACGATATACAGTTGAATGAAGAATGAATTTAATACATTTTAATTAAATTTCCGGTTCAGAAATAGTTTTCGTAGAGGAATTCATAGATTTTTTAGAATTAGAATTATCGTGGTACGAAGTACTAAGCGTCGTTCTGAATGCCACTTCTTTACATTGATTGCTCCAAGCTCTTCTCTTGCAACCGAACAATCCCATGAAACTTTGACGAAATTTTGAATTCATGAAGCAATAAGTAATTGGATTGCAGCAAGAAGATGTATAAGCCAATAATTGGAAAAATGAGATTCCATAATAACCGAGTCCTTCGTAAAGAGAGCGAGGATCGTAAAGCGAAACTGTATTGATAACGTAAAGGGGTGTCCAACAGATAAAAAATTCTAACACGACAACGAATAGCATTTTAAACACTCTCCTCTTCTGCGATAGTGATTTATCAAGATTACTGACACGAATCCCTTGATAAGAAATATTATCTTCTTTACACTGTTGCTTCGGTTTCAAACTACTCCGTGAAGATAAAGATGTATGACTGTCGATGCGTTGTGTCCCTGCTGAATTCTTGGGATAAAAATGAATATGAAGTTTATTCGATCCATTTTTTGTGGTAATTTCTGAAATAATAAGTTATTTTTTAAGTTATTTATGGTAGTAATATGCTAAATTTATTTTAGTAGTCATGCAATATATGCACACGATAGCTCAGAAGACAGTTAACCTATTATTGAATAGGATTAATTGGGTAAGGCATGGCAACGCTAATAGAGGATGATTGGTTTATTGTTTACGGCAAAGCGACGCGTGGGCGATCTTCCGACGGGGATGCCTTACGGGAAGACTTTCTATGGGAACTCGGGCCCTATTTAGGTGTTACTAATGTGAAGAAAATCCGGAAAAGTTCACGTAAACCACGACCAACTACCAGTGTTCTGGAGTTTTATCCACTCGTCTACTAGCGGGTACAATACGGGGTGTCACCCAGAAGAATTTTCTACAATACATTGGTATAAGATATGTGAAGGAAAACCCAAATGGCAGAAATTGGCAGTTGGTAGGGCACGAACTCTCCACCAACCTACAAACTTTACAATAATTTTATTCACTCGGCCTACAGCGGACAATTAAACTATTATACTTGACTATCTTAAAAACGGTTTAAAAATCAATTTGATGCATCCATTCTTTATGATCCATTGGTTTCAGAAACTTCCAATGAATCAACTAAGTAGATTTATATCGATTTACACTTAAAAAAGACAACACGCAACTGTTATAAACCTGGTTTTAAATATTCTAAAAATATATAACTGTCTTTTGAGCCACCCTGTTTATAATTGGAAATAATAAGATGAGTAAGAAGAACCTTGTCCTTGGCATTTTAAAGGTTTGATTGTTTTCCATAACGTTCCAACTATAAATGAATAGGTAACTGTCATGATGAGCAATGGTACGACTAGAAGAATGACATCCAAGAATAAGTTAAAGATTTTCTCTGATATTTCAGAAGGCCAACTCTCTCTACATTTATATTTATCTAAAAAAAGCCAAGTAAAATTTCATCATTATTCATGATTAATTATCATTATCATAATTTAATAAGGTCGATCCATCATCATGAAAATATGATTGTAATAAAAAAGTTTCCACAATATATCAATTTTCAAAATTAAAATATGTTTATTTATAACGAAAGANACCTCTTCTGCAAACACCACTGTTACATCATCAGTCCTTTTTTTATGTCTTCAGCTATCCATCCAAGCCATCTCTTTCTCGATCATCCCCTAGGTCTTCTCCCCTCAATTTTTATTTCCAATACCAACTTTGGTATTTAAATTTTCTTCTATTCTCTTGATATTTTTATGGATTTCATCCATTGGGATTAAAAACAGACATGGTGACAAAACACTTCTTTGTAGAAGTTCTTTCTTTAATTTGAACCACTCTGTTTTCCAACACCTGTTATTACACAACCAAATGACGTTGTATATTATGTATCTATATAAATCAATGGAAACAATGATGCAGCAAAATCGAATGAACATCAGCAAATTAACAATGCCTTTATATAAATACAAACCACATCTCACCCAATCATTATCAGAGTTTAATGCTTTTCCAGCGGGAAGTGTAGAAGACGATAGAACATATAGAAATTATTGAAAACCCACAAAAGCTAGCAGAGTCAAATATTGCCACTGGCAGCAATCAGCAAGCTGAAAGGATCTGCTTTATATTGGCAATATGCAATGGGTAGCATGATGAAAATCTGGGAAGAATGGAACAACGTCTTCGCTATGAATTTGAAAAAGAATTACAAGTTTTAAATCGAGAAGTCGCGATTTTATGAAATTTAATAATGACTTCGTTGGGCTGCTTTTTGAAAAAAATTGTAGACCTATATCTCATTCTCGTCCATCTGTTTGTTTGTCCATCTGTATTTCCTTAATTTCAGTTTTAAAATCTATTGCACAAAGACTGAGAAATTTTTTAATGTTTAATAAAATTGATGTATTTGTTGAAAAAATAATAATTTTGACTGGAACATAATCTTTATTTATGATATTTATTTAATATTATATGCATGGAACACAATAATGCAATATCACAAACACTATTAGAATAACATTCAACGAACTTGAATAGACAAAATTTTAAGTATTTTTGTTAATAAATTTACCTTCAATTTATACATAACAGAAAACTCAACATTACAAGGAATATTACAATTACAGTAATTACCATTAATCTGCAACAGAAACAAAACATGTTATTAATGAATAAAATTAGATATTAAATCTAATATTAAATAAAGTAATGAAATGTAAACTCACTGCTGCAGTAATTCTAGAAAAGCCATAAGGTATCAAGAAGCCTCAGAATAACGATATAACAGAAAGCATTACAAAAAAAGGTTCATCAGTGGATCGAAAAATCAAACATAATTGCATAAAAAGATTACTCGTTTTCGCCTATCAGTACATGTGAAAGTTTGATCGTGGTAGAAGCGTGGCTTACTGGGACTGCGGTTTATCATTCTATGCCATTGGTGCTCACGTTGGTCGTGATCCTATGACTGTCACGAGAATATGGAATTGATGGGTCCAGGAGGGCCATACAAAACGTTGTGCCGAGTCTCAACGGTCCTTAGTCAGTAACGCCCGAGAGAACAGACATCTTTTCCTCATGGCCTTGCCTGATTGTACAGCAACGTCACATACCATGAGTTAGGAACTTGTGTCTTTTCAAAACAACAAGTGCCTGCACAACGATATCTACAACTTCACAGATTTTCGGCACAACGACCATTGTTGCGGATTCCCTTGAGGCTGTAGCAGAGAAGCGCGCTTACAATGGTGCATTCAACGACTAATATGGACGCAGGAGTGGCGTCACGTCGTCTTTTTAGATAGAGCCCGGTTTTGCATACAGAATCATAATGTCTATATCAGTGTGTGGAGGCACCGAGGGGAACGATCGTTGCCAGTTTCCATTCATCACCGTCTTGTGGGCCCAGCATCTGGAGTGATGGTATCAGGGTGCCATTGAGTACACATCCTGGTCACCTCTTGTTCGCATATCCAATACTTTGGACAGCTGCCGACACATTTCTGATGTGTTAAGACCCGTCGCTGCGCGCTATCTTCGAGGCCTCCGTCACGTTATCTTTCAATAGGATAATATACGACAGCATGTTGCTCATTTTGTCATGACTTTTCTGAATGCAGAGAATGTTCGACTGCTGTCCTGGCCAGCACGTTTCCCAGATCTGTTACCAATTGAGAACGTCTGGTCAGTGGTTGCCGAGAAATTTACATACCACCACCCGCCAGCCAGTGCGATAGATAAACTTTGGCATAGAGTTGTAACCGTATGGACTGCTGTACCCGTACAGTACCTGTCATCGAAACTTTATTCGACTCGATGCCCAGCAACACTACAGCTGTTATCGCTGTCAGAGGCCGCTGCTCTAAGTACTGATTTCTCATTGCTTTGTACCTCAAAATTATCTGTAAACTTAATCACGTTTTCCTCCCATTATATTGTACAACAAATATGATTCTGCTATTTTCTTTCCATCCTGGTATAGCATTTTTAAAGGCCAGCAGTGTAATTTTGTTTTCTTTAAATTCTGTTATTCGATGTAACTAATGCCACATATACTGTACGAGAAACTTTCTGGATAAAGTACAATTTCTGTATGTAAGTTTATATGTATATTTATGATGCAAATAGTCTGTTCTGAGATACAAAGCATTGTCTGTTCTTTAGCTGAGTTATATTTAAAATGTTTACTTTAAGGATTTACATGTTTAAAACATTTAAATTGATAGTGAATATTAGGATTTAAAGTGACATATGTCTCGTAAAGAATTACTTTTTTTTAAATGTCCATCATTTCTATAAGTGTTTCAGATTAAATATTGGAAAAATACTTATAAATAACGTTACTCGTATTGCGAAAATATAAATGTTGGAGCCGTTACTTGTGATGATGTATTTGGTTTTTACATTTCAGTGACTTTATAAACATAGCTGACTAAATATTACATACTAAGAATGAAGTATATTTTGGTTATGCGTATAGAGTTGTCATAATCCGTAATATTTTGAGATTTTTCCCATTTGAAACACATCGTTCCCAAAGGAAATTATTTCTGGAATGTCTCAATTTATCCATTTCTACCTAAAAATATATTGAGTATATTTAAATCAATATATTTTCAGAAATATACCAGTATATTTTATATTTGTGAAGCGATTTCTAAGAATTGTGAACGGTGTCTGCAGGTGTAGTGCATGCATATACTACACCACCTGTTTTACACACTGTCTTTAGTAATCTGTGGAGTACGCGTAATGATCTGTGATTACTTTGAAGCCATCATGATCCTTTACAGTGCTGTGCGATGGCTTCAAAATTAGCGAGTGTTTTATGTAACTAACGACGATTTATCAATGTTTACGTCTGTCTATAATCCAGCATTTTTTTTATTGACTTTTTACCCTTTGCACCCTGTGGACACTAAGAGAATTTCTTCCTCAATAATCACCTAGCCATGTATAAAATGAAAGTAACCGGACACTATATACACAATGAAAGTCTTAATTAAAATATGCAAATCATACAAGTTCGGTCGATTCATGATTCAATATTTATTCACTAATAAATATTAAGAAATGGGTAATAATTGAGTTAAATGAAATTAGTTTAATTAGAATTGTTCACATATAACCTACGGTAGCTACTGCCTACCGGGTACTGGGGTCTATGAAGCTTTATTATAATGTTACTTCACGATGTCCCGATTTCTGTTATGAATTTATGGAAATTTTTTATGCATACCAAAGTAAAGAAAACTCAAGCCGTAAACATGTAAATAGTCAAATCAAACTTTTTATTCTGTTATAATATTAATTCACAGCGAACAAAGTGTTGTAAAATGGAAGAATTCAATGTTCTTTCCTGTTTTACAAGAACTCATGGAAAGTCACATTGAATTATTACCATGCCATTTATCTAAAAGGTGAGATTTTTATAATGGTTTAAAATCATGTTTTATTAAATTATAATCTCTGTTTTTTATAAAAAATTCTATTCGTGTTTGAACTTAAATTAATCATACATTAAATCAATATAATTCTGAATGCGGGTTGGTACTGGAAGTCTTCTAATTCCATTAGGTAAATTCCAATTAATATAAAGAATTTTTCTCACTCTACAACGACACAAATGCTGCAGTTCTGAAGGCTGCAATACGCGTTGTTTTAGATAGTTAATAAGTCCCAAATCACTTAACTCTTCTATTAAAAACTTGCAAATGGCAATATTTATATGATGATCATTTGTGACACAGAAATTCTTCGCCAGTTCTTTTAAGCTAATTGAAGGAAGTGCTCTCATCAATATTCGCAAACAGCTTAATAGATCTTGAAATGGCTCAAATTCGTTGATGTTTTGTATTGTGAGAACTGCTGTCGATTCCACCCATTTTAGTATAATTTTAAAACAATCTTTAATAATATCCAATTTATATATTTCATATTCTTCGTGATCACCCAACAGGGCTCCGTGTCGAAGGAGTAACAACAACAACTTGGGATTAGTATAGTTAACAGCGTATTGACACGAATGCGATACGTCGTTGGTGTAAGTAAAACTGCCATCGACTAGTCTATGACCTTGCCATAGAAATTTACAAGAATTTGCATGGTTTATGAAGTATCGAAAACATTCTAATGCTTGTTCTTTCCAATCTGCACGCTGAAAAATCAGCATGCAATGACCAGTGCTACGATAAACTTTATGAAGAACGTATGTGACTAAATTACTATCCTTGATATTCCATTTGTAACATTTAAATGCGATAAACCAAAGGAAAAATTCTTCTATTGCTTGAAATTCTATAGAATCACGAATGTTTTCTTTATTATATTCGTAAACTTCAATTATTTTTCTTAATAGGTCTTCTTTATCTTCATAATGTTCAGAATAAAATATTAATTTCAACAGTTCCCGTGACAT